TTCCTTTTTAAAGATGACTCAGCTATTTATAAAATACTATTATTTTATATAGTTTTTTGAACTTATTAATTTCTAAAATTAAGCAACATTTTTGGTACAGCATTCAATGTGTGAATTAACCTCTTAAATTGGTATCCTGGTTGGATTAGGTATAATACCTAAATCCATAGATTACATCCTAATGTGTTCAGGACATCTATTATTTTCTCTTTTTAACTGAAGTTAGTTGTATAATAGACCTTTTAAAACAGAATCTAAGCATATTTTGCAAGTTAATTCTAAGATTTTTCATGTCTTGCCTTTATAGTAGGTATCAATTAACTAATAATTTCTAGATTTTGTGGCTGATATAAACTGTTAATTTCATATGAAATACTTGTATTTGCAAACTTTGCTAAGCTCTATTTTAGTATTAATTATGAAACAATATAAAAAGCCATTACAGTAGTGATCATTTTAACTGCAAAGATTCTAAAATTTTCTAGATATCAAAATTTTTTTTAGCATAAACAGAAATATAAAGTCAGGGAAATATGGAGTTATATCACAGAACAAAAAATAATTTTAATAAGTAAAAAAATTCCTGAAAATCACTGTTTTGCTAAACAACTGTTTATTTAGTTCTACTTCATGTGGCATTGTGACTGACTTCTTCCCCATACCATAAGGCTTTTAAGGTGCATCCATGTTGTGGCCATTTATTAGTTATCTATTCTTTTTCATTATTGAATCATATTCCATTGTATAAATATAACACATTTTATTTATCCATTCATTATCAGATGATGAACATTTGGGTTATTTCAACTTTTTGATCTTGTGAATATGACCTTACAAACACTAATGCACAAGTGTTTGTGAGGACATGCGTTTATCTTCATTCTTCTTGAGCCTATGCTAGAAATAGATTTGCTTAGTCATATAAAAAATTCATAAGTAACCTTTTGGAAAAGCAGACAGCTTCTTTTTCAATGCACACACATCCACCCTTTTACATTCCACCAGCAGTGTGAAAGGGTTACAATTTCTCCAAACCCTCACCAACACCAATACTTGTTATTAATCCTTCTTTTTGATTATGTCATGTATATTAGCAGATATAAACTGTTGTTATTATTTCCATTTCCATTTATAGTCTTCTTTATTATTAAACATTATGTACTTATGTTTCCTTCTCCTACCCTCTCCTTCTTCTCCTTTCCCTTGTTATCTTTGTTCTTGTTCCCCTTCTTCTTCATTCCTCCTCCTCCTCCTCCCCTCCCTCCTCCTTCTTCAGTATTCTTTATCAGGTTGAAGAAGCTCCATTGTATTTTCATTTCTTGATTGTTTTTATTATGAAGGGATGTTAGGTTCTTAAAATTTCTTCTTTTCCCTACTGCAACTATTGGAAATATCATGTGTTTCCTTTATTCTATTAATATGGTATATTACACTAATTGATTTTAGCATCTTAAAACAATCTTATGTTCCTGTGATAAATTCTCCATGGTTGTGATGTATAATCTTTTTTTATATGTTGCTGCATTTGTTTTGCTATAACTGTACTGAAGGGTTTTATGTTTAGATTGATAAGACATATTGGTCTGTAGCTTTCTTTTCTTGTGATGTCTTTGGTTTTATTATCATTGTAATAATGGTCTAGTTGAATAAGTTTAAATATGTGTCCTCCTCATTTAGTGTTTGGAGTATTTGTGAGTAATTCCTATTAATTCTGCTTCAATGTTTGCTAGTATTCCCCAATGAAACCATTTAGACCTGCACATTTCTTAGTGTGAATTTTTGTTGAATTACTAACTGAATCTTTTTACTTGTAATAGATATATTTCTTTTCTTTTCTTTTTTTTTTTTATGTTTTATTTATTTCTGAAAGAGAGAGACAGCGTGAGCAGGGGAGGGTCAGAAAGAAAGGGAGACACAGAATCCGAAACAGGCTCCAGGATCTGAGCTGGCTGTCAGCACAGAGCCTGAGGCAGGGCTCAAACCCACGAACCGTGTGATCATGACCTGAGCACAAGTCGGACGCTTAACCAACTGAGCCACCCAGGCGCCCCTAGATATATTTCTTTTCAATCAGTTCTAATAGTTTGTATTTTTCTGGGAATGCCCCCATTTCCTCACAGTTACCTACATTTTTGTATACACAGTTGTTCATAGTGTTTTCTTATAATCCTTTTACTTCATTTAATTTAGGTAATGTTTTATCTCTCTTGATTTTAGTAATTTAATTCTTCTCTCTGTTTTTCTTGGTTAGTAAAGTAAGGCATATACATTTTGTCAATGCTTTCAAAAACGGACTTTTGGTTTTGTTGACATTCTCTATTATTTATCTATATTTGATTTCATTAATTTCACTCTACAGTTTATGATTTTGTTCCTTTGGCTTGCTTTAGATTTGATTTTCTCCTTTTCCATTATGTTAAGGGGGAAGTTTAGAATATTGTTTGAGATATTGTTTTTAACATAAGCATTTATAGCCATAATTTTTATTCTAAATGCTATCTCGCCAGAGCACCTGAGTGGTTCAGTCATTTAAGTGTCCAACTCTTGATTTTGGTTCAGGTCATGATCTCACAGTTTGTGAGATTGAGCCTTGCATAGGGCTCCATGCTTACAGCATTGTGCCTGCTTGGGATTCTCTCTCTCCTTTCTCTACCCCTACTCCATTTGCTTGCACACACACTCTCTCTCTCTCAAAGCAAATAAATAAACTGAAAAAAAAAATAAATGCTGCATTGCCTATATCCCATGAATTTTAGCATGCCATATCTTTATTTTAATTAATCTCAAATGATTTTCTATATTCCTTGTATTTTTTTTTGATTCATTGATTTATGTGTACTATGTTATTTAATTTTCATATATTGATGAATTTACTGAATTGCTTATTGTTTTGGATTCCTAATTTCATTCCATGTGGTCAAAAAATACTTATTTTTTATTATTGTAATCCTTTTAAATATACTGCAGCTTGTACTAACATCTTGGAAAATGTTCAATGTGCTTTAGAGAAGACTGCCATTCTGCTGCCGCTGAATAGAGTATTCTATAGGTGTCTACTAGTTTTATTTGATCTGTAGCGTTCTTCAATTTTATGTATTTGTTTGTCTATGAAATGTCACATCCACTACTTAAAGTGGAGTATTGGAGTTTCCAACCATTATTGTTGAATTCACCATTTCTTTCTTCAATTCTGTCAGTTTTTGGTTTATATATTTTGAATTTTATAAATTTTGAATTTGCATATATTTTTATAATTACTACATCTTCTCGTGAATTGATTCTTTTATAATTATAAAAATGTTTTCTCAATAATCATTTTTTTCTTTTAAGGTCTATTTTGGTCTGATATTACTATAGATACCCAAGGTTTCAATGATTGCTGATTGAATGATATATATATTTTTTATCCTTTTACTTTCAATCCATTTGTACATTTAAATGTAGAATGTGTCTCCTATACATGATATATACTACGTTTATCCAAAAATTATCTAACTTGAAAATCTTTGCCTTAATTGGATTTTTAATCAATTTTATTTTAATGTTATTATTAATATAGTTGGATTTATTTATGTCTCCCATTCTACTTTTTGTTATCCATATATCTCATGTCGTTTTTATATCTCCATTCTGATACTACTTACTTTTGTATTAAGTAAATATTTTCTAGGGAAAATTTTTAGTATCTATAATGCTGTTTTTACTACATTATTTGAGTTATTTTCTTAATTGTTGCTCTGGGATTTACCATATATACCTTAACATATCAGGTCTACCATATATTTAATCTATCACAGACACTAATTTAATATTTGTGTGATATAGAAAAATTATTAATATATGTCTTTCTCTAGTACCCTCTTTTTTGTGCTAATGTTGTTATACATAATAGAATAGGATCAACATTACATAAATAATATAATAATTGTATATTTATATGTTTGAGATATAAATACCAATCATTTTAAACAAAATATTATTATTAGTTACTATAAAATAATTCAGGAAGTTAATGTAAAAACACAGGAAATAGTAAGTATTGGATGTGGAGAAAAAGGAACACTCATTTAACTGCTGGTGGGAGTGAAAACTGGTGCAGACAGTTTGCAAAACAGTATGGAAGTTGCTCAAAAACTTAAAAATAGAATTACCATATGATCCAGTAATTCCACTATTGTATACTTACCCAAAGAAAACAAAAACACTAATTCAAAAAGATATATGGACCCCTATGTTTATTACAGCATTATTTACAATAGCCAAGATATGTAAGCAAACCAAGTGTCCATTGATAGATAGATAGATAATGAAGATGTGACATATTGATATATAGATATCTATATATGTACATAGATATAGATATATATAGAGAGAGAGAGATCTCATAATATTACTGAGAGATAAAAAAAGAATGAAATTTTGCCATTTACAACAATGTGGATGGACCTAGAAGGTATAATGGTAAGAGAAACAAATCAGTGAGAGAAATACAAATACCATATTATCTTGCATATGGATTTTAAGAAACAAACAAAATAAAAAGCAGCAAACAACAACAGGGGCATCTGGGGGCTCAGTCAGTTAAGTTTCTGACTCTTGATTTCTGCTCAGGTCATGATCTCACAGTTCCTGAGTTTGAGCCCCATGTCAGACTCTGCGCTGACAGCCCAGAGCCTATTTGGAATTCTCTCTCTCTCCGTCTTCCCTTCTACCATCTTCTCTTTCTCTCAAAATAAATAAACAAACATTTTTTACAAAGGGACAAACAACACCACCACCCCCAACAAAACTCTTAAATATAGAGAATAAACTTGTGTTGGCCAGAAGGGAGGTGGGGGAAAGGGGACTTAGGTGAAATTCATAAACATAATTGAGTATACTTTTCTTGGTGAGTACTTAGAAATGTATAGAATTGTTGAATCATTTAAAAAAATCAATTATGGCTAATCAGTACAATTATAACTTTTTGATAATTAGATGATATGCTTTGTTCAAATAATTTATAAATACCTGGATCTATTAATTTCATCTTTATAAGTAACTTCATGTTGACACCCACTTTCTTGATAATCAGTTGTATTTTCCAGAGACATTTTGCCAGGCCATCTTGGTATACACAAACACCAATATCCCTTACTGCCTTCTTCAGTCAAACAATTGCATTCATTTGCATGCACCTATAAAATATTTTAAAAAAAGAGTTTGGCAAATGTCCATCACATGAAAATATTACAATCATCTCAAAGTTTGAATTTCATGCTTTCTTTTATGTATTAAATTCATGTATTCCTTTAGCAAAGGTAAAATAAACTCAGTTTTGATTTATATCAAAATCAGTTTTAAAAAGCCATATTAAGTTTATTTATAACATGAATATATATTTTGTAAAAAGCAAAATAAATCAATATCAATTATCCAAATGTTTTAAAATATCTTAATGTAATTTGTAAAAACTTTATAGATATAGCTTCCATGTTAACTGATATGGTGGAGATAGCGTTATACTGATAACCAGATCTATGGAAAACCTGTTTTCTGTATCCCTAGTTTTCTCTCCTTGAGTGACTTACTAGATTCACCTGACTATAACATTTTAATACATCCTTATTAAAAATGAATTTTAAAAAATCTTGAACACATCCTTATTTCATATATGCATGGAATTCATACTTTTGCCTGTTAAAAAATATATTTCATTTTAACCATTTCAGAGGTCTTCCACAAATATGTCCAGTGTATTTACCAAAAAGGAGTATGTAAAATTTGTTGCCAGAGAAGTGAATCTCTTATGGACAGCTTTAATTCAGGCATATCTTTTCCAAAACTATGTTGTTTATATTTATTTCCCATCAATGGCTATAATGATTAGAAAATTAGTTTCATGGTCTAGTCCTTTGGTGACAGATAAATGATTTATAAACATCTAGTCTCTGCTGGGTAAGAGTCAACTGAGAATCTGTTTCTCTATTTTTCTATTTGGAGCTCAAGTCACTTAACGATTTTTAGTCTACTGGAAAGGAGACCATCTCTTTGACATGGATAGATACAATTTTTTTTTCAAATGCTTTTACCCTTAGCCTATGGCTAAAATATGAAATAAATCTCTAATCTTTCTCTACATTTGTCTGAATGTCTAAGTGTTTATACTTCAGAAAAAGATATTTATCCCTCACTGTTTGAATGTGTGATCATTTTCTATATGCAGAGGGTATTTGTTGTAAATTTTCTTAAATTAAAGAGGTCCTATTAGAATTAGCCTACAAAGTTAAAGTTACATTAGTACTTACATGGCATAATTATTAGCAATTTATGACACTTTTATTATTCTCTCTCCATATATATGTATAATAATATATATGTATATACATATACACACATATTATTAGTTTTATTTTCTGAAATTTGTGATTGCACTTTATCCCCAATTACATTAGTGTGTAGTTATTTTAAAAAGGATATTATAGCTTCATTACTTCAGTAAAATTATCAAGTTAGGAAATTAACTTTTATATGTTTTATAACCAAGAAATTTTATTAAAATTTGTCAAAGTTATAATATACTATATAAAAAATCCAATATACAAATTCTCCTCCTTCAACATGGCTAGAAAATACAAAATACTAAAACTTCAAATTACCCAGAAGTGGAATATACATAAACATAAGTGATTAATGATTTTATTTTTACTCCTTGTTGGTGTACTGTTTTGTAAAGATTGAATTGGACAGTTTAAATGTGCATGCCTTCCATTATCTTATTTACTTTTGAATCCTTTTAGTTGATTTGATTTAATTATGAAAGCAATGCAATTTAATTAATCTTATCCTAAAATCCAATTCCTCTTGTGCTTGGTACACGCACACACATTTTAAAAACTTTCTTGTAAGAAGCTTTACTTTCTTTTGTATTTTTCTTATTTTCTTAAAGTTTTTATTTCATTTCCAGCTGGTTAACATACAGCATTGTATTAGTTTCATGTGTACAATATAGTAGGAGGGGAGGATCCAAGATGGCAGAACAACATGGAAGTTTTTTTTTTCCATCTTACATCCATGAAATACAGCCAGATCAACACTAAACCATCCTGCACACCTAGAAAACTGATTTGAGGGGTAACATAACAATCTGCACAACCTGAACCACAGAACTCAGTAGGTACGTGGTATGGAGAGGTGAACTAGGGGAAAGAGAAACTGAGGAGGGCAGAGAATTATTTTCCTTCCAGAGAGAGGACAGAGGTGGGAGGAGAGTATGGGAAAAGCACCCACTCCCAAAAGCAGCTGGAGAGAAAGTGGAAAAGTGGAAACAGCCACAGGTCTTGGACTAACAACAGAGAAAGGAGAAAGGAGAGGGTTTAAATTCCATTAAGACTCTATATGGAGCACAGTCTGAAACTCCACAGCTCAATACCTGGTGGTGCTGTGGTGGGAAGGGTAAAGCCCCAGGAGCAGGGTGGGATCCTGGAGATTCTAGGGCCACCTGGAGAGAAGATGTTCCACTGCTGGAAGGACATTTGGTAAGAGGCTGTGTGTCCACCCAGCCCCAGCAGACCCCAGAGAATACCTACATTCTCTGGTGCTGGTAAAAGGTCTTTAAGGGTGAAGTCTGGTCTCAGATGTGTATTGTGATTTTTCATAATCCCTGAAAAGCTGCTGCTGCACAATTGCATGAGCTTTTTCTGGGGTTGGCAGCACCCAGCTGCAGTCTCTGGGCATCAGCAGCAGCATGATGGTCCTGTGAAGGTTCCTGGGTGTTGCTGGCACCTGGCCATTACTTGGGAAACTCTCTCAAGAGTGTCAAAGCCACAGTCCCTCAGAAGTGAGGGAAACACAGTCACATCTGAAATAAAACTCAGGAGGGAGGTGGCACCTGGCAACCTGATGGCTTGGTCAAAGTGTAAAAGCAGGGAGTGGATGGAAGCTGGAAACAAAGGATAGGTTCCCGATTCCTGGTCAGGGAGAGCACAGAGTTCCCATACTAGAGACTGGGTAACTGGGTGATGCATTTTCAACCCTCTTGTGCATGAGCATACACACGTACAGGCACCAGAGCAATTCACCCCAGTAAGCTAAGCAGCACCGTGAATGGAGCCTGTACAGTAAGCTCTGCCCAATGGGGGGCAAACCTCGCTCTTCAGGAACCCCACAAATCGCTCCACCTGATTAGTTTACAAACTATAAAGTGCTTCATAGTTTGATTTCTGGGGGAAAACGATATAATTTCAATCGTATTTCAGTCTGTTCGCTGGTCCATCTATTCAATTTTCTTTTTTGTTTGTTTGTTTCTTTTCCTTTTCTTGAATACAGAAAGAGAAAAAAAATTTATTTTCAATTTTTATTAAAATATTTTTCTTCATTTTTTTCTACTAGTATTTTTTTTACTATTTTGTAAATTTTTAAAATTCTATCTTACTTCCATCATTCCAATTTAATCTATTTCTTTTTCTCAAATTTCCAAACATTTTTCTTCTTTTTCCTTTTTTCCTCAAATTTATCTCTTTCCTTTCAATAACCAGATCACAGCACACCTAGTATCTAGCATCATTTATTTGATTTTGTGTGTGTGTTGTATTTAATTTTTTAATTTTAATTTTTTACCTTATGAATTCCTTTTCTTCCCTCAAAATGATAAAATGAAACAATTCACCCCAAAAGAAAGAGCAGGAAGAAACGACAGCCAGGGACTTAACCCATGCAGATACAAGCAAGATGTCTGAACCAGAATTTAGAATCACGATAATAACAATACTAGCTGGTGTTGAAAATAGAGTAGAATCTTTTTCCGTGGAGATAAAAGTAGTAAAAGCTGGTCTAGATGAAATAAAATTTGCTATAACTGAGCTTCAGTCTTGAATGGATGCCACGGTGGCAAAGTTGGGTGAGGCAGAGCAGTGAATCAGTGATATAGAGGAAAAAACTTATGGAGAATAATGAAGCAGAAAAAAGGAGACTAAAGCAAAAGAGCACGATTTAAAAATTAGAGAAATCAATGACCCATTAAAAAGGAACAACATCGGAATCATAGGGTCCTAAAAGATGAATAGAGAGGGAAAGGGATAGAAGGCTTATGTGAGCAAATCATAGCGGAAAATTTTCCTGACCTGGGGAAAGACACAGACATCAAAATCCAGGAAGCACAGAGAATTCCCATTAGATTCAACAAAACCCGCCCATCAACAAGGCATATCATAGTCAAATTCACAAAATATTCAAGCAAGAAAAGAATCATGAAAACAGCAGGGAAAAAAGTCTTTAGCCTACAAGAGAAGACAGATCAGGTTTGCAGCAGACCTGTCCATAGAAACTTGGCAGGCCAGAAAGGAGTGGCAGGATATATTCAATGTGTTGAATCAGAAACATATGCAGCCAAGAATTCTTTATCCAGCAAGGTTGTCATTCAAAATGAAGGAGATATTAAAAGTTTCCCTGACAAACAGAAATTAAAGGAGTTTGTGACCACTAAACAGCCTTGCAAGAAATTTTAAGGGGGACACTCTGAGGAGAGAAAAGACAGGAAAAAAAAAAAAAAAGAAGACCAAAAGCAACAAAGACTAGAAAGGACCAGAGAACAGCACCAGAAACTCTACAAGAAACACAATGGCAATAAACTCATGTCTTTCAGTACTCACTCTAAATGTCAATGGACTAAATGCTCCAATCTAAAGAGATAGGGTAACAGAATGGATAAGAAAACAAGATCCATCTATATGCTGTCTGTCTACAAGAGACCCACTTTAGACTTAAAGACACCTTCAGATTGAAAGTAATGGTATGGAGAGCTATCTATCATGCTAATGGTTGACAAATGAAAGCCAGAGTAGCCATACTTATATCAGACAATCTACACTTTAAAATAAAGACTGTAACAAGAGATGAAGAAAGGCATTATATCATAATAAGGGGTCTATCCACAAAGAAGACCTAACAATTGTAAACATTTATGCTCCAAATGTGAGAGAACCCAAATATATAAATCAATTAATCACAAATATAAAGAAACTCATTGATAATAATACCATAATAGTAGGGGCCTTCAACACCCCACTTACAGCAATGGACAGATCATCTAAACAGAAAATCAACAAGGAAACAATGGCTTTCTTTGAATGACACACTGGACCAGATGAACTTAGCAGATATATTCAGAACATTTCATCCTAAAACAGCAGAGCATACA